TGAAATCCTGCTTGGGGAGCTTACGGAACTCATACCTTATACCCTAAATCCTGAACCCTAAACCCTAAACAGGGGTAATTGGGCTGTAAGTACCCTAAACCCTAAACCTTAAACCCTAAACCCTAAATCCTGAACCCTAAACCCTAAACTGCTGTAAGTAGCCTGGACAGGTAGGCAAACCCCGAGCCGAAGACCCTAAACGCAAAACCAAATGCATGCTTGGTTAAACCCTAAACCCTAAACCCAGGGTTTAGGGTTTAGGGTTTAGGGCTTACCTGAGCCCGAAAAGACGTAGAATAATTGCCTTATTGGTCATTTAAAGGGAGATATATATATATGGGTATATAGGGGATTATATTGGTGTTATATGGGGATAATGGAAAAGAAAATGGACACTACTATCATAGTATATTGGGTTTTACAGGGTTATAACCATTTTATGGGCGTCTGCGCCATCTGTTTGCCTACTTTACAGGACCAGGTAAGGCTCGCAGCCCTGACATCGTGGTCACTGTCCACCCACTGACATGAAGTCTCAAGCGTCCTATTAAGTCCTACCCCCTTTGTAGAAAGGGAGATATATGTGGTTCCATATGAGACTAGACTACACAAGAGATATGTATGTTTACTCATAACGGTCCCTAACAAGCCCAATATTGACAGTAGCTCATATACTCCTCTAAATAATCCCCTGTATAACCTCTTTAAGGAGTTTAGAACGGCGGAGGTTTTTTAGGTAGGTGTAGCTCATCCATTTTGGGCGGAGACCAGGGTACCAGGGGACCAGGAGACCAGAGGACCAGGGGCTCTGAGCTACACCTAAGGAAGCTAGACCTAACTGAGCCACATCCAGGAAAAAACAAAAACCTGGCCCGTTCAGACCCTAAACCCTAAACCCTAAATGAAGGAGGTTAGATCATCCCCTTAAAGGAGCTTAGACGATAACCCTAAACCCCTAAACTCTATCCCCTTAAAGGAGTTTCGACTATAAAGATTTTAGAACCACGCGCCGACCTCCACGGTCTGCCCCATCGTCACCTTCAGCAAGCACCAGCTTTAGTGGGTTTAGGGGTTTAGGGGTGTAGGGTTTAGGGTTTTAGGGTTTTGCAGGTTTATGGTTTTAGGTGTTTAGGGGTTTAGGGTTTTAGGGGTTTAGGATTTTAGGGGTTTAGGGGTTTAGGGTTTAGGTTTTAGGGTTTAGGGACTCGGTCCCTCTGTAGACTACGATCCTTTGCAAAGGGTGCCCCTAAACCCTTAACCCCTAAACCCTAAACCCCTGAACCCTAAATTCTAAACCCCTAAACCCTAAATCTCTTAAAAGAGCCTGGGCTGAGGATTTAGGACCTAGGTAATCAAGATCAGACCTGCATCGCAATAACGACAACAGGAACTGGGGTTTAGGGTTTAGGGTCGTTTTGGTGAAGGCTTACTAGGAAACCCTAACCCTCAGCCTTAGTCTAATACTTGTATCCATGTCAAGTCCCTTTCAGAGTAGACCCTACTACTGTGGATGGAGGAAATCTTGCACAGCTTCTCCTAGCGTATATCCTGCATAAGGTCATTAAAAACAAAGCACACATCAAGGAGCACTACATGGTGCAGGATGTCCTCCATCCTTCCTATCCGGTGGAGTTCTTCCTCCCTTTCTTTCTTCCTTCCTGCCTCCCTTCCTTCCTTCCTTCCTCTTGTATGTGGGGAGCGTGGACAGGAAGTAGATAGGCCGATAGGCCGTTATGCTTTCAAACTACAACCCTGAGCCCGAAACCCCAAACCCTTTCTTGTTCTCGCATTAAGTAAGGCAGCTTGGTCCATGGGCGCACCGAAAGCTTCACGAGGCATATCCGTACATAACATCTGAAAACCATGACGTGCTCATAATGACCTACTGTAGCACTGCTAACCCAGAAGAGCTATACGATCATGATCTTCCAAATCTCGAACACCTCCCCTCCCCCTTCTGTTCCATAAGTCCACCGATACCAACATGCATAAATGCACAAATATGCTTTGACACGGATTAATTGATATTGGGTGGTAAGGTGCTAGGGCGGTGTTAAATGTCAGGGGGAGGTGCTATTCAGGGTGCTACATGATAGCCGTGTGGAGACACGGCAGAGATTCACCGCGCTCAACGCGATTTAGGGTTCAGGGTTTAGGATTTAGGGTTGCCAGCTCGTAGGACCTGCTGGAGGGGCTAAACCCTAAACCCTGCATCAACAACAATAACACCCTTAAGGTCTCTTCGAGGTACCCCATACCATACTGATGCGAGGAAAGAAGGACAATAACACTGGTTGTCAGTTATACTTTGGCTGCTACATTACATGACCTCTATAACTCTTAGGGTTCAGGATTGAGGGCTTATGTGTACATAACCTCTTTATCTCCCTATCTATCCCTAGTTAACATTACGTTTTCCATGTTTTTTTTCCATCTCAGTCTCCACGCACACCCAACCTCCCGCCAGTGGATCAACTCGAGACTTTCTTGCATGGACTGACGGACCCTAGACCTTGGGTACTGCCCCCACTCAGCAACAGTCTATATGAGGGGTCCTATTAAGGGCTATATATAACCATATTATAGTTATTATCCAACTGTTACTGAGTGGGGGCAGTACCCAACCTAAACCCTAAGTGGGTCTCATCGCTTGTACATGCCCCCCTGAACGTTGAGGTGCCCGACGCTGAGATACCTAAGAGTTGGCTAATAGTTCCTAGAATGCAGGGTTTAGGGTTTGGGGAAGGTTCTGGGTAAGTAGATTATGCTTAATTATTAGGATCTTGGATCGGGGCTGAGATACAGAAGCATCATGTTTTGCGTTCACCGCGCACAGCTATTCAGCATACCTCAAGTAAAGTTAATGCCAAAGCGCGAAGCGGAACAAGATGTGTATGACCGCTTCCGATTGGGGTGGGCCCCATAATCTGAACTCCTAGTATCCCCTTTAATAACCCCGAAAATACTCCCCTATATGATCCCCTACATAACCCCGTTTAGGAGCTGAGACTATTTCTCATACACATCTTATACGATATTACATTGAGAATACAAGTTCCCAGAACCTGAGGACGCGAGATGGGTCTCAATCTCGCAACCATCTTGGGCGCAATCAATGAAGTACACCCTTCCGAAACCTAAGGGCCCAAGCACCTCATAATCATGAACTTGCCCAAAACACCTCAAAATCTAACCCCTAAACCCTGGACAATGTAGTTTAGGGCTTTTGCTTCTGGCCCTTCTCGGCGTCAGGGGCACTTGGCAAGTAGGTTGATAATGTAGGGTTTAGGGCTCAGGATAGCTGGGGCTATGATGGGGCTTATAGGGGCTATAAGTATACTTACTACGTCCCCCGGTCCTTTCAAGTAGCGTCGACGCATGTGGGGGTTTCCAGACATCCGGGGCCTGGAACAGACAGAAGACCACTAAACTCTACACTCTACACCCTAAATCCTAAACCAAAAGACCCCCAAGAAGCTATCTTTCTCATGTTCATCTAAACCCTAAACCCTATTCCCGAAAGACACCCAATTTTGGGAGACCAAGCCGTCACCCTAAACAATAAACCGTGTAGGGGATGGCTCAACCCCTAAACCCTAGACCCTGCATTGTTGTAAGCCTCGGGCCGGTCCTGCACGGTTTATGGTTTAGGGCTCGGGTTTCCGTAAGAATCTAAGTGACCCATTCCCCCAACACCTGCACTACAAATACTAGTACCCAAAACCTAAGTATTCAATGAATTCTCATTCCTAAACCGTAGTTATTGGGTACACGGACCGTCGGGGTTTTGTAACACGAGGGCCTCGAAACTTTGGGTTCCTCTCTTACCTCTAGGGTCATGGGGACTTGGCAAGTGGGTTTAGGGTTTATAGGGTTTAGGGTTTAGCGTTTAGGGTATAGGGTTAATAAGGGTATAACAAGGATTACTGAAGCGCTTTGTGAGGGTCATAAGTATACGTACTAAGTCCCCCTAACCCTTCAAGTAGGCCCTTGTAACCGGGGAAGAACGGTTTTGTACGTGTCTGCTCGACAAGCGGAAAAGACAGGTTTTGGGGTTTGGTGCAGTGCGCTGAAAGCGGTAGAGCTATTCATCGGATTTCTCGCTTCGAGCATCTCGAGGCTTTAAGGGTTCCGTCAAATGGGGGAAAAATGGGGACTGATTGGTTATATAGAGGTTTTGTAAGCCTCGTATTTATGTAAGCATCGTATAGGGGTTATATATAAAAGGTAAAGGGATTCGGGGCCCCTCCCCTCCTAAAAGCCCTTGGGGGTGGTAGCGGTCTACAGCATACCACTTCTTGCAATGCATGGTCTGTGCGACTTTTGTACCACTGGCATTCAATTATAACGCTACACGGGTTTGGGAAGCACGGAGATATCTGTACAGCTCGGGAGTCCCGACATCCGAAGATGACAGCGTCGCGTCATAGAGGTAATTTCATCAAAAGTGTATGCACCAAATCACCACATGTCGATTAAAACTTTACCCTAGGGGTCCAAGGACCCAAATAATAGGGTTTTAGGGCCCAAATACTATTAATATTATAGTATTTGGGCCCTGAAACCCTATCATTTGGGTCCTTGGACCCTTAGGGTTAGATTCTTGCTGTATGGAACTCCCACGAGGCGGCCCCATGGTTTTTGGAAGCCCCCCATGTCAGTGCACAAAAATTTGACGTATCCCGACCTCCATGAGCATACCTGTACCGGCCGATGCATCTTCATCATTCGAAGCTGAAGACCTGTCCTGCGCTGACATTACAAGTTCTGGGCTTATAGTGTTGCAGGCTTAGGGTTTAGGGTTTCTCGGGTTCACACTTAGACCGGATGTTCAGCCTCCGCAGTACGCTAAACCCTACACACCCAAAATGCTAAAGTCGAAAGCACCAGGCTAAAGCCAGCCAATTGAACCTTAATATGGGCCCAATATAACTCTAATGTAACCCTACATAAGACCTATATAGCCAATATAACCCCTGTATAACCCTAATGGAGTTGTCCTCCTCATCAGTGATGCCATTGCATTTAAGCTCTCCAGCCAAGAGCGTGGAAGTATTTGGGAATGGCGAATTCCTCACTTGCACAATGAGACCCTAAATCCCAACCCTAAACCCTAAATCCCAAGCGCCGAACCCTTTTGGAAGCAAAGATGCCGCGCCCAAAACGCAAAATCTTCTTGTCTGAGCCAGGCTCAGTTTCACCCCTCGGAGAGTTTCTTGGTATTCCCGGCCAGCAAAGTGCGCGTTGGCGTGTTCTTGAATCCAGTTGTGCACTTGTTGCCGGTAGCGTGGCTTCAGCCATTCCACCAAATTTGGGAGCGCTCCCTCGTTGCAGGATTTGGGCGAACTAAAAATCAGGGTGGCGGAGCAAATGCGAAAGTCTTTGTCCACCTGGGTTGCTGTTATGGAGGGTTTTGGGCTTTGGGTTTCTTAAATAAGCCATAGTCTTAACTCCTTAAAGGGGTTGATATAGCGGACTATATAGGGAAATATAATAGTGGTTGTCAAGGTGGATACTAGGAGTTGAGACTATGTCTTAGATGAAGTTACTATGATATACTGTAACAAGTAATGATGAAACCCTTTTATTTACTATACACCGATAGTATGGTAATCGAATTTACGCTCCATGGCAGCAACCCAGCCACCGTTTCGAGATCGATCACCAGATTGATCTCACTGATCTCACGCATGGTTGAAAGCTGTCTGCTGCTTTTGCTACTGTTACTGCTGGATCGGCTACTCCTTGGTAGCCCAGTAACCATATTACAACAAGGGT